GTGACAACACGTAGCAAGTTTTTGGGACCAGCATACAGGGATGTTTTGCTTGTTAGTGAAAAGACCTGGTTAATTTTTATTTAACTTTGCTATGCTAACTCAAGTTAAAATAAAGAATTTATTGATGTTTATGATTGCAGGTCACTAAATTAATTACAAATTTTTAACTTTCTGCAATTAAACTTTCTGAATGAAATCGCACTGGACAAACATTTCCAAAAGTCCTAGGGATACGAGTGTAATTACTTGAGCAATTTGAAGAGAGACTTTAAAGTTCTTAATTCCCTTTGCTCATTTTTTTCTACAGAGTACAAAGTTAAGGTTCATCTCTTAGAGGTAGCAATTGTCAGTAAAGAATCCTGTGTGTTTTCCTTCTTTAGGGCTTTCTTCTAGACCTGCACCAAATAAAATTATTGATTTTTTCCTATGGAGCAAAGCTAGTAACACTTATCCCGTGGTATAAGCAGGGGACTTTGTGTCTCTAGTTATGGAGCAAAGCTAGTAACACTTATCCCATGGTATAAGCAGGGAACTTTGTGTCTATAATCTAAGCACCCCACAGCCTCTAGGAAAATTTGTGAGGATCTAAAGCATCTTCCCACGGGCACTGACCACTCCTGAGCATTCTCCGGTAGCTGGAGGACCCTGTCCCTAAATAGGATTTCCACAGAAAGGAGAGCAGTGCCCCACGCTTCCATCTTTTCATGGCCAGAGGTGAGGAGCTCTTGTGTTTTTACCTGTCTTCCTTAGGCTCATCTGGTTTCTTCCGTGGAGCCTCCACTGAGACATTATGGGCATGCCAATATAGACACTTGTAGCAAAGAGGTCAATGCTGCAAAAGGAAGTGAGTCCCCTTCAAGAAAATTTAAGCTATTGTCTTAAAAAAACCCGGTGAACAAATTCAGGAGCTAAACAAGGTAAATACTTTTTAGTAAGAGTAATTATATACATAAAAAAAGAAGTTCTGAATCCGTATATAATATCTGTGCCTGTAATATGAAACATATCTCTATAAAAGTCATGCTGTGCAGGGGATTTTTTTGCATATTTTGTTGTTGCCATGTACACTGCATTTGACACTCCAGCACAGCTGGAGTCCAATCAGCAAGTTATGTGTGTAGGGTCTTAATTATTAAGGCCGAAAGTAAGTATCAGTTCAGAACATCTGCTCCTTTGCCATTGAGGTTGATGGCACAAAAAGAAGTTGAGCTGGATTCGGTGTTTTCAGCACGGAAATTGCCTTTTGCATGTGGTCTGGCCTCCTGGTCTCTATCAACAGTTTGCCTCCCTGCCACTATTGCTCTTCAAATGGTGAAAGTGATGGGACTAGTTAGCAGTGCTCACCAGAACCATCCACGTGGTAATGGAATCTGTCATTGCAGGAAGGAAAAGTAGTTTGGAGACCCTCCAGAAACTTGAAGAGTCCAGATAAGCTGGATGATCTTTGCAGGGCAACATGCCACATTAGTTATTTGGACAGCTCTTAGCACATAGGTAGTACATACCTTGTGAAAATAAAGGAGCAGTGGCAATATTAGACATTGTCTGTGCCGCTGCCACTCGTGCCAGACATTGTTATATAACCCACTTGGAAGTTTTTGACATGGAAGTTCTCAGCTTTCACTTCTGAAGGTAAATCTGGCATCACCAAAAGGGGACGTAGGCAAACTTTCTTAAACCATGGTCAGATAGTGTCGATTTAAGAAATAGGGTGGGTATGGAAGAAGGAAGGAGGGAATGTTGTGTTTTTTACAGCAAAGGCCTACAAGTCCGGGTGTCCAGTTCTCTCTGCTGTTATGCTGCGTTCATGTCTACACTTTTTCCCAAACAAGGGAACCACATAAAAATTAAAAATAGGCCTGGGGACTATCCACAGCTTGCAGGTGTCTTGTGTTTCCTTGAAGAGGCTTTTGTCTGGAAACCAAGATGTTGTTAGGCACTGTAAGGAGCAGGGAGATCCGGAATCAGAAGTTATCTTGGGTCGAGTAATGTAGATGCAACAACTTTGACCCAGGTGTGTCCATGAATATCTCTAAGCTTCAGTTAAATACTAAAAAAGTATTGAGATTTTGTCCAGCTTGTTCAAAGCTCTGGTGGAAGTGGAGTGGGAGCTCCTAAACTGGGCCCTAAATGAGCATCCTAAGGGTGCTTAGAGACAAGCTGTTCCTCTTCTCCCAGTTCCCTTCAACAAGGGAATAGGGTAAACCACACACAAAATAAAGTCATTCAATGCAATGCTGCGCAATCAGGATGACATGAATAAAGCATATAGAAAACCAGTAGCTTCTGAAAAATCAGAATATAAGGTATTGCCTCTGAAAGATTTATTAAAATAACTTTGGGGGAAAGAACTCAGAACTGTTAAAAGAAGCAGCTAAGCTTGGGGAAATTGCAATCTAAAAGCAAGGTAGATTAAGCAAATCCTTCTGTACACAACCATGCTAAAACTAGGAACCCTCTAACCATCACTTTGAAGAGCTTATGCTCTGGGACTTCATAT